CAGGTTTCATTCCTAAAAATGTTCACCCGTTGATCTCTAGCGAAAACCGTTCGATTCTGAGAGCAACTACAAACCTTAACAGATTTTAACAAAATTTTGAACAGAAATAAAATTTTGGCCGAAGTGGAATTCATGTTTCATTATGGGGGTCCACTGAACTTTCCCCAGCAAGCCAGTTTTAAACTTCCTGAAAATCTGTTAGTGCTGCCATCTAAAGGTTTTAGGTGGGTATCAACTATTGGATGTACTCGGAAAGGAAACCACAGTTGAATTAGAGAAACTCTAACGCCAAGAATCTAGCCAACCAAACCATGTGTCTACGGAGTCACCTTTTTCTCGTGCCAAGGCCCCGCCGGCTGAGATAGACGGGTGGCTCTGGAGACGTGTATCCTTCGTGTACTGACATGAAGAAAAGAATCTTCCAAACAGTTTAGGGTAAGGTGGCAAAGATAACAATACTAAGCATGTAGCGAGAAATAAAGTTGATACAATCGTAGATAGCTGCAGTTTCGTATCAGAAATGTTTTATTTCTATATTAACTCATAGAGTAGCTTCCAATGCGAAAGCGACGTAACCGCCGGATAGCAACAAACGCACAATGTTTTTTAAAGACATGTAAAATCTGGACGATATTTACAGGATAACCTGGTCAATGATGACATCTTCATTACTGCGCAGGTCGAGGCATTGAAGTGGCAGATGACCGATGCTCCGAATGGCGTGTAGCAACACGCTTGGCTATCATGAACCTTGGAGGTATCGTGAGGCGAAGACCATGACTGAGGGAGAACGACCAGAGCATTTCGTCTTCTACAACGGAAGAAAAGGAAGGATAATAAGCCGTACTGAAGATGAGCTCGCCGGTAAATAAACTCTCCCGAAAATAATTCCACCAAATACGGTCCAACCTCTCCACAATGGCCACCCACCCCACCCACCCCACCCCTCCTTTCCCCCGTGAGGTATACCCATGGGATTGTGCTGTATTTGTCGGTTGAACGCCGGTTCCAAAAGCAAACGTATTTGAAACCTTAAGTCCCTTCCGATAAAGCCTGGTTCTCATATGCCGCCGACATACCTGGGACACGATATGTGAACATTTATCGCCGAATCATAATCTGTCCCAGGCATTGACCGCCGGCTTGTCTGCGAAGTTGAGCTGAGTTCAACTTCGCAGGCAAGCCGGCGGTTGTCGGTGGTTGTCGGCAATGAAAATATTTTATGTGAACATCATCTGTGGACGTAACGTACTCCAGTAAGTCGACTCGATCCATATTTATAGGTGGAATGGTTGAAAATTGCGCCAATTCGATTTGCATTTCGCGCAAATTTCAGAAATTTGAGTACGTCGGCGATCCATCGCAGATGCGCCGGGCACCCACTGAAACAGATCGCCCAACATTGTCAGTTGCAACCGGCGACTACGTCGCAGGTAGGTCGGCGGCGTATGAGTACCCAATGTCGATGAGCCCCGGCTCCTGGACATATGTCCATCTAAAAAGCCTTTAGAATAAATGCAAGCCCTGCATGGGGGTAATAATTAGAATTTTATGGCACGAGTAAGCGAATCCTCAGTAGGAAAAAACTGGCGTCTGTACATTTTACCACAATACTACGTGAACCTTACACGGCCCATAAAGTACAAGGAAAGCCATACCGGTATTTTTGAAACATTTGTATGCTAGGTCCTGGCTAGGTTTGATGATGATTTTATAACTTTTCTGTACGCTTTTATGAGATTTGTTAAAGTTTTCGTGCGCTAAGAATATTATGGGTAAATGTACCAGTCGCCATCTTTTTTCCTAGGGAGGACTGAGAATGTCTCCCATTCTCTGTGTCGCGCACAACTTATTGTGTAATAAGAAATGGCTGTGAACTTTACTTAGCAATTCAGTCTTGCTGTCAAGCGGTGATGTTGGTAGATTAGAGAGGACTAGCGAAAAAATTATTCCCTAATATTACCAAGCCGCGGAAATCAAGGGCGCCGACTATTATTTCCTAGAGCTCTACTAGGACAAGCGCTTGTCTCCCAGCCCACGGTGAAATAATCCCTGGGGTAGCTGGGAGCCCCGTCCCCTATAATTTTCCTCTCACCTTGGAGCATGTAAAGTTTCCTGTAAGGCATTCCACCGACCATAGACATGACTCGTTTCTTTGAACTACTTCTTTTGACTGGACTAGCAGGCTTTGGTTCATCCGGCGGTTTAGACAACTTTTCTGCCGAGAACCTAGAGTAACAGCGCATAGCTTAGAATGACGAGGGAGTTTCATCAGGAATTTTCGTTGTGGACATAAGTTATTCAAGTTCTAAACACGTAACTTAGGTTACAGATTCCTTAAAGAGCGTTTTTCACTCCAGTATCGGAAGGAGTTCGCGCCACTAGTACTACTCTTAGTGATCAGTGCCTTAAAACATTTGCACCACTCCCGGGGGGGAACTCCCATACAAAAAGAGAGTAGGGGTTAAAAACGCCCTTTTGGTACCTCTTATGGTGTTCAGGCTAAAAAGGTCCATAACAGATGTTGTAACCGCTTCCGGTAAAGTTGAGAAATATTTTCCCATTTGATTGACGTTACCGTGATTGATGCATAGCCCAAATTCAGTTCAAGCTAAGACCCCTTCTGTTCAAGATCGCAAAACAAGTTAGAACGAAATTCTCATAGGAAAATCAAGACCCGCGAACGTTGGTAAGCTACAATCCAGTTATGTTGATATTTACATTGTTACGTAAATTTGTGATTATAGTGAGAGCTATACTTAGATTTCAACCGCTCTCAAGGCTCTCTGTTAGCATGAGCACATGGCATAATCATTGTGATTACTTTCTAATTAGAAACGCAACGATATTTAGTGATTTCTTGATGCAATTATTTCAGTTGACCGCTTTGCTTCGATTCGTATGAAAACGCCCTGAGGCCACAAGATTAGGATTAAAGACAATAAAGTAAAGATCGTTCTCCTATACTGGCTTGGTGTTCTAAGAAGTTTCGACTGCGCGTGCAAACAACCCGGGAGATCGAGATTTCAGTTCTAACTTAAGAAACCGTTACAGATGTTTCTGCGGTACCTTTTAGGGTACTGACGGGAGATAATGTCTTGTTTTAGAATTGGTACCTGTTACAGGTGAAAAACATTTCAAGCCACGCCCACAAAACAGGATCTTTTACCTCTAAGGGATTTTTTCAAAATTTGCGAAGAGCATCCTCGTCCTTTTTTAAATGGGAGTTCCTTCCCAGTCCTGAACTCTCGATCCCGTCCCCGCTCTGTATAGGGGATAACCCTATAAATGAGCGGCAAAGAGGGAGTTCCAGGACTGGACTAGTGAGAAGAAACCAACAGCAATCGTGACTCACTCCCACACGTTTTTTCTGGGCCTCACGCAAACTTCACCCGAGCGTCACGCAAGCATCACTCGAGCGCAACGCGAGCTTCGCGCTGGCATCGCGCGACAGTGTCCTCTGTGATTGGCCAGAGTGATTTAATGTGGTTGTGGTGTCATTACTCATTACAGAAAATCGCTTTAATAAACGAGGCAAACTATCCTACGCTAACTTATATGTGGGAGTGAAGAACTTTTTTAACAAGCATTAACGTTCAGCTTGTTAAAGAACTGGCCCTGATCAGAATATATATTATGTTGTCCAAGGGATTAACGGTGCTTAAACACAGTCATTTCTAAGGATCTCAAAAATCATTTTTTTCTTTTGGATCAAGCTGCATTAGTTTACAATGTTTTAGTTGGCCATCAAACTTCGCGCTTTTCGAAAAAAAAACAATGAAAAAAACGCGAAACTTTGATCTCGCAAAAACTGTAAAATAATGAAGTATATAGTTTGCGAGAAGCTAAGGAAGACTCACTTTTTCCAGAAAAACATCAAAGGAGTGAAGACTGCCAAGGCGGCTTCATGAAACAAGCCTCTTTCCACGATCCCATTGGAAACCAAACCTACAATGTTCTCTGCCAGGTCATTCGGCGTGTTGATCTAAGAGAAAATTAAAATCAGTCACTTTCTTTAGCGTAGCCGGGGCATCTTGCTTTGCTGTATAAAAGGAGAATTATTGCAATAGTTAGATTGAAGCTAACCAAATACATACCGCCCCGCTCCGATAGATGTGACTTAACGCCAAAATAAGATGAATGCGTTTTGGAGTTGATGGACTACTGGTCTGCTCTTTTTCTAATAACTCGAGGAACTATTTTGCACTTGTTGATCAAATTTTCGTCTTAAGGCGGGGGTCTACATGAAGGCCGTATTTAGGCTGGGTATTATGGTTTTAATGCAAATATCTCATTCACGTTTCAAGCAGTCAAGAATCTCCCTGCTCATCCCACATATCTATGTTTTGGGCTGTTTTGTAAATTTTTTGGTGTTTTTTAGGTATATTTGGAGGTAAATAGTTTTTCTCAAAGGTTTAGTAAAATTTAAGGAAAAAGGAAATTTTGAAGATTTGGTGTTGTTTACAATTTGAGGTTAAAAACTGGTAGACGTACACCAAACAGTTTTCCACCAACCTGGGGTGCCCTTTCGGGGGCGTTCAACTGTCTGGCGGTGTTCCATAACCTTTTTTCCCCTTTTAATCCCTCTTTAAACTTCCTAAAATTTCACTTAAATTCATGTTTACCCCCGCCTTAACAAATAAATTCCATGTTCCTGCGCGTCTGTTCGGTAAAAGATCACAGATGACGTCAAAATGTGATAAGAACAAAAACGTGGCACACGAGGCGCTTGCCGAATGTGTCACTGATGTTCTTACCACATTTTAACGTCTTTCTCGAAACCATCGCCTGATGCGTCTCGGGTTTGCATTACTGTCTCGAATTCTCCGACCCTCCCCCCCTCGTGTTTAGATGAAACTATGTAACTATGTAAACACGGAAAAAGTGCTTTATTGCTTAATTCATGTACAGAATGACGTAGCCCGTTGCGCAAGGCAAGACAATTCTTTGTGAAAAATTGTCGCGACTCTTTTTTGTCCCCAACCGGGCAAGTTTCTTCAAGGGATCATTACTATACCACTGTTAAACAAACCTGAACTCTAGGGGGGACATCTGAGTCTATGAAGCACTTGACGATGGTCTTAGCTTTGTCCAGAAGTAAATTCTCGTCTTCCAGCGTGTAGTTCCCAGACTTCGCGCTCTGGATGGCGCAGTCAGCTTGGTCTTTGAAGCGTTCAACTTCCATCCAGAACTCCAGGTCACTGATCAAGCGGTCAATGTTCACGAACTGGTTATTGATCATGCGCCGTGTGGGGTGTACAGAATGACGTCGCAAATCTTGGGCAAAGAAAGTGTAACAAGGGAACTGATATGGTAAGTTAACAGATCGAGAAGTTGGGTTTTAATTAATTAAGTATGTGACATATTGAGCTTTCAAATTAGAGAAGATAAAATTTTATCGCTCGCCTTTAAAGCATGATCCAAGACTGAGCGAAGTTAATCTGGGTTTGTATCTGCCATGGAGTGTTAAGAGCAACGAAGTAAGGAGAAAACGATTAACGGGCAAAAATTCACAAGTTTCAAAATCATTTCCACTCCGTTGCACAAAACAGTTGCGAAAAAATATGGATAGCTTGTAAAACGGAGCTCGAATTTGTTAACACTTACTCGAGATTGATTAACATATCTTTGTGTTCATTTTTTGAAGTCCACATCCACTCTACGCCGGAGAAATTGGAAAACGTAGCTTTGCTTCTAGGATGGGCCTACTGTCCACACTGATCAGTCACAAAAACGCCGGTTTTGCCTTTTAGTGTGGACGGAAAACATTTTGAAAGCGGAGCTTCTCAAAAACGAGAGCGTTACGACCATTATGTGATTTCTCTGCCCGAGTTTTTCTCAAACACAAATCCAAAATGACCGGTGGTTGTTGCGTTTTCAAATTTCTCCGGCGCTGTGTGGACGGAAAACACTTGATGCGTTTTCAGAGTGAAGCCTTTATAGGCGCGAAACAAACGAAAGCCGTCATAGTAAATCTTTGAACTGTGAGCTGCTATGAATAATTCATGAGTTGGAGGTTGGAGGAGTGGTAAGATTTCAGATACAGTAATCCGAAGATCGCGGGTTCGAATCCTAGTGTGCCAACCGATTTTTTTTTTTTTGCAATTACATAGGCATTGAAAGAAAAGTTCAAGAATTAAAAAAGCTATGTATTTAATACAACAAAATCAGACGGAAATAATTCGCGGAAGAAAACTGAATACTTTTGAACGTGAAACACTCGCACATGATTTTTGGCAACGCTTCGTTTAAAGCCTGGCGTGACACAGAGAGAAGGCTAAAACTGGACTAAAATCTTACTTTGTTCCACAGTTGCCTTGAGCTCCTTTATCAGGAATTGTTTAAACTCGCCCATTGAGTCAGGATTGTGGATCCCTCGTTGGAAGCACATTATGTTGTGAGCGAACATTGCCCATAAACCTTTCTAAAATGGCACAAAGAAATGAGAAACAAATAAACAGTTAAACAACAAAAAGAAAACTTAACTTTAAAAAATTGTTTGAGCACGGTTTAAAAATATATCGTTGAATGTTTGTAAATGGAATATCGAATTTTGGGGATCAAAGATCTTCTCCAGAAAAATGTACATCACCTTACAATGAAACACCACGAACCTCAGTCAACTAAAGCCAAACCATTACCACCTGAAAGGCCCGTCCACATTAAGGAGGAGAAATTTAAAAACGCAGCTTTATTTCTACGGTTAGGCCTACCGCTCACACTAATCCGTCACGAAAACGGAGCTTTTCGAAACTGAACGCTCTTCAAACAGGAGAGAATTTGAAAACACCGGCTTTTAGTTTTCGTGTGGATGGAAAACATTTTGAAAACAGAGTTTTTCGAAAACAATGGCGTCACGATAATCATGTGATTTCGCAGATCGAGTTTTCCTCAAACACAAATCCAAAATGACCGGTCCGGTGACGGTTGCGTTTTTAAATTCCTCCGGCGTAATATGGGCGGAAAACATTTGACGCGTTTTCAGGGTGAAACCTCCGTTTTGAAATTCCTCCGGTGTAATGTGGACGGGGCGTACTACCAATCAGCATCGACGCGCACGCTCTTGTGAGACAACCTTTGTAGAAACAGCTGTATATACCCATAAATGTTTTGTTCTATTCTGATCGCGCTCAGTCTGTCATCTAAGCTAAGCTCACCGTTTTCCCATGGGCAGCCATCCTGTAGACACCCGCCAGAGTGTTTCTTGTGGCGTACTTTGAAAAGTTCTCACGTTCACTTTCATCCTCGGGGAACGTATCTACATATTCAGAATACCTAACAAGAGACACAGCTCATTACAGGCACTTTATACTTGAAAAGCTGAGATTAAGGTTACTTCAAACCTTCGCGGGGCTACATTGGGAGATGTTTTTTGGTCAAGAAAATTAATGTCCGCGAAGCACAAGTTTGCATACTGTGAACGCTAGTGGTTTTGTTATTTCATTGGCTCGTGGCTTTTCAAGTTGACACATTCCTCTGTGAAGGCGTGTGTTATAAATCTTTAGAAGGCGAAAACTCGCACTCGTTTTTCAAGAGAATCCCTTCTCTTTAAATGAATTAATAGGGATGCAGATTTGACGGTTTTCCACGAAATTTGGTCAGAACATTCACTGATAGATATGGAACAAAAGTGTGTCGGCGAATTCCTTTATTTTAAATATTTTCCTCGTGGCGGCCTTTAATGCAACAGGTTATTCGAATTTTTCGATAGTCGAACTTGACAGATCTATAAAAAGATAACCAATAGAAATAAAAGAAAATGCTGACACGATTTGGGAGATTGAGGCTTTGTGATTAACACTGCACAGTTATTTTGCATGAACGATCGCATTTGATACCCGATAAAATTCGCTGGAACGTCAGTCAGTCATTTTGGAGTTGACGGCCTCTGCCGCCTTTGGAAAGCAAAATCCAAAACAAAACATAATTTTATCGAATTTCACATTTTATAACCTTTTTGTTGATATATAGTTTGTGGGGGTTTCCTTGAAAACAGCGCGCGTACGAATTTTTTTTCCGGAGGACTCCCGCGAAGGTTTGAAGTAACCTTAATCGTGGCAAATAAACAGTTAGATCCTGAGCTTGAGATTTCTATCGCGCGRTAGTTGACGAGGGCGCAGCCCGAGTCAACTATCAAGCATTGAAATCGAAAGCGAATAATCTAATTGTTTTAGTATAAATCTACTAGTCGTTCAAAACGTTATCGAAATCCTCTTACCAGACACTTCGAAATCACCAAGAAGCGGCCGTTATTTTGTTAGCAAGGGCACACTGCTACGCTTCTCACTATCTATCACAGAATAGATAGTGAGTAGCGTAGCCAATCAGAGAACAGCATTCGTGATAGAACGCTAGTAGATTTACACTAATAAGAAATAGATTTGACCTGAGGAAAGGGAAAGAAGTAATAACTTTCACGTAGTCCGTTGACACGATCTGTTCCAACAAGATAAAATTTTCTCTTGGTTTCAAGAAATGTGCTTAATGAACACTCTATTTCATAAGAGGTTGGAAGAGGGCCCGCTAAAAAGCTGATGCAGTCCTGATTTTACTTACAATTGTGAACATCATTCTGACACCTTTGGCTTGCTCTATACTACAGGGAAACCGTGAGCTTCCAGGAACAGATAGTGTTAGACCAAATGTTTGTGCACTGTTTTTTAAAGCCAAACGGAAGCTACTGCATGTAAGTGTTTACTATCCTTCAAATATTTTCACGCAAGCGTAGATTGTTTGCTGAGAGATCTTAGCCAAGGTGGGAATCTTCGAAGTAATTCTGATGGCATTTAAAATCCAACCTCACTTTATTAGTAACAGTAGACTTGGGACTGAACCATGCATGCTAGCATTATAAGACCTGAAATTTTGTAAACTGTGGAATATCTCAAGATATCTTTCGTTTTGTTTGCGTCACGTATACAATATTCATCTGAAATGTTTTTCCTTATGGGCAAAGAAAACACTGAAATTTAAAAAAACAATCACTATTCCATACCAGTTTTCCTCCATGGAGCGTGCTACGCAGGCCTGGGCAGAGACAAGCAATGGAGGGGTGGTCTTTTCCAGAAGTGGAATGTCTTTGATGATTTCAGCTTTGCAGTGTAAGTATTCAGCTGCGCAACGAAACACGTCATTATGTTTCAATAAAGTATACAGCTTATCAAAGGAAACACTAAACACGCAAATTTTAACGTCGCTATTACTATTCACCCTTTCTTTATGTAAAGCGGTTTTTAATTGGGTGTCGTAAGACCAAAACCAAAGTAATCACTCTAGCCAATCGAAAAGTACACAGACAAAACAGTGAACCCATCAAAAGTCAAATAACTTACAAGTAGCTGACGCGAAGCGCGGGAAAATGAGTGCAAACGAGTCACGATTGGTTATGGTTTTACTTTTGATTAGATGAAAAAGTGGCGCGAGTTTCATAGTACCGTATTTTCTCGATTAAACGCCGGGTCTCGAATAAACGCCGGGTATCCCAAGTAGATTCGTAAATAAGACCCTTCAGGAATTTATCGAGCTATAGTAAGCTCTAGGTATAATTATAAAATATTTCAAAGCTCTGTCAATGAGGAATAAAAACTCTAATAAACTGCAGGCTCGAATAAACTGCAGAAGTCAATAAACGCCTGATCCGCGAGTCAAGTTTAAAATATGTGCCGGAGGCGTTTAATCGAGAAAATACGGTAAGTGTGAACCCAATTACTTTTCGACGCTGAAATGAAAATCGCTCTATATGCAATTCATAAAATTATCAACAGCTCTTTCTTGTTTGGGTATTTCAGAAAGTTAATATTTTACAGGATTTTCAGTGGTTCATCAAATAACAAGTTATGTTTTTGCTTGTTTCCATTTTGCCCTTGTTTTCATCATACAAAATGCTATTGGAGTTAAATTCCTTTATCAGGGAGTCAAATTTTGTGATTACGATTAATCATATTTTTGTTACCGCAGGCGGGATTTCTGTTGAACTATATAACAAGCTGTAGTATAGGCACGCAATTCGTACAGAGAATAAAATTACTCACCATAAACTGTTCTACCTTGAAAGAGACTAAACACTCACCTGCTGGTGAAGGAATATTGATGAAATACTTCCTAGTGATAATCATTGCCCTGGCTTGCCGGGATTTACCATCCTTGCAGTTGGTCTTCATACTTTCAACCGCCTGCCAGAACAGCAAAGGAGCTTCAGAGTTCTTCTCGGATAGGAATTGCTTAAACCACTGAAGATGAAGTGCATCGTGTAGGACATCGTTAAAGCCTCTGAAAGAAAAACGCGGTAGGGTTAAAGGGGCTGGGTCATGTTCCTCTAGTGATGAACTGGTCACAGAACTAACTGTAATATCACAATAACGGTTTTAAAACTCATCAGGAACACAGAAAAGCTAAAAAAACGCATAAATGGGCAGAAACGGAGAAGATTGAAACGGATTGCTGGTAAGCTTTAAAAACGTCGGGCCGGAAGGTTTCTTGTTTTTGTCAGTTTGGTTAAAAGTGATAATTATAGCGCTCGGAAATCATTCTTGTTTGTTNGGGGGGGAGAGATTTTATCTGATGCCCTGCCAATCTGAAGTTTATTTAGAGGACATTACTAACGACAAGAATTATCAATTACCTGCATTTTAGGTCATAAACTAAAAGCACTCAGGTTTTGCTATACAGTCTTTCATGCAAATGCCTAACGGGTAGTTTAAGGGGCAGGGCTGGAAACCTGAAAATACTGCTCTCGTTTTATTAAAAATTACTGTACAAGTGCTCTGAAAGTATAAAATAAAGGTTACACTGAATTGAACACGCACAAGGTTATGACGCTAAAGTGAAAAAGTCAAGCAGACTTGTCTAGTTCTGATCATGATTATAATCTGCTCTCCCTTCAATACTTCCCTCCATATCTTTAGCCTAGTGTTCTGGGAGCATCTAGTGTACAGGCCATAGTAACTGAGCAGTGATTTGCCTAAGCTCGTACCCAAATATCACTCTGTTAGGCCGTGGGAGATCTGGATTCGAGCTAGTGAATTGTCTTCTGTAATCAACTGTTGCTGGCTCACCTTCAGCCTGCTCCAGGCTCTCGGTCAGTGGGGACGATCAAAAACGCAGACTGGCGAAAGATAAACGAGCGGGGTCAAACAGAGGGCTGGACTTCGGATTCTTTTGCTCACCCCACCCGCTTTTGCGATCGTCCCCACTGACCGAGAGCCTGAAACAGGCTAGCTCACCGTGGTTTTGGGGGCCTAATTCTTGTTTCCATATTCCCCTTATTTCCATCTAACGAGTCATCGCCTCGTTTGGTCAGGTGACCGTAAAAATGAGAGGCGCGCCTTCCGCGCAGATCAAGGCTCTCCTGTTCTTTCTCTTTCAAGCTCGGAATCCTAATGTTGTCTTCGTACGCCTCTCGTTCATCTTTGTCCTCGTCGTCTTGACCTAAGGAAAATCCTGAAAAGAGAGAAAAAGAGATATTATGTCATTTTCGCATTTTTCCGGGCCGGAATAAGGATACAAGGGATATAGTCCTGAAGGAAATACCGTGTCTAAAAAAAGATTTTACCTTTACCTTTACCACGCTTAATAGAAAGCGTGGGGCGGGGGGGGGGGGCTGAGACAAGTGCCATGCGGTGACACCACTCCACCACTCATAGTAGTATTTAGGCTACTGTGAGTCCAGTGAGGTAGTAAGGAAACTAGACTGCATTTCAGCGTTTAAAGAGCGCAGTCCCCAGGTATTTTCTCGACACAGTTTTATAACAGTAACAGTAAGACAGGTGTACTTCGCAGTCTGCAAATAAAAACGAATTCTGAAGATCTGCACTGAGCTTTAAAGAATTCGGCGCAAGCCACATGAACGGCGCGTTGGTGGACGGTTCTAGAGTACCATTCTTTAAAGTGAAGCCTCCACAGAGTCGGCTTTCCTATGATTTAGACACATTTTAAACCTTTCATTGGGAGCCAGAGGCTTTTCATGTTTCCGGTTTCGCCACTCTTGGCGTCCCTCATGAACCGAAGCAACCCACCGTATGAGCCAGGCAAAACCTCTGCTACCCAGGGTGTTTGAGTCTCAGAAATCAGGCTTAACACGAAAAGAATGTCTCCTTAAATTGGAAAAGAAAAAGTGCAATTTACTCTAACCAGACAAGCCAAGTCCTACAGCAAGTCTAAACGCCCGCCACGTTGGAACAGGGATGGGACTTTCAGTTTTCTTATCATCTTTGATATCCTGTTTTTTCGTGCTCTTCCTTCGAATACCCTGTTTAAGAAAATAACAGAAAAAATACTTGCAAGTCCTTCAGTACTGTTTTCCTGCCATTTTTATAGCGCTGGAATCAGCAGGAAAGAGCGCTTCGGTGATGCATCGGCCGTCACCTTTTTGTGCTCAGGACGAGATAAATCAGTGAGATGGCCTCACAAGTTTCAGTTTCTGTTTTTCTTTTTGTCGCCCGTTTGACGATTGTCACGAAACTCGAATCGCGTATCGACGGGTGTATCGAGGCGGGTTGACTTCTTATACACCTAGCAAAACATTTTTTCTGGGTTTACATAGGTAAAAAATACGTTTTCTGGCACTTAGAGCGCGTTGTACAGGTATTGTTTTAAAGTTAAAGAAAATGATTTTTTTTTTCTTTTTGAGTTCTAATTCTAAAAATGATATAAACTCTATCCACCTTGACTTAAAATTGGGTTAGATGTTAAGGTAAACTAGTTTTGTTTATATGCATGGTAGGGTTAATCAACAGAGAAAAAGTGCAATTTAGATAGCATCCACCCCATACTTGCCAAATCTCAATTAAACGTTTGGTTTAGTTTAGAGCGGTTTTCAATATTGAGTGGCGTAAAACCAAAACCAAAGTAATCCGCTCTCTAACCAATCGCAGAGGACACAGACAGCCCAGTGAATCAATCAAAACTCGAAGTGATTACATGTAGCTGACGTAAAGGGCGGGAAATCGTGCGCGAGCAAGTCGCGTTTGGTTTTGGTTTTACTTCTGATTGGATGAAGAGTTTTTTAGTCAATCGTGAAGCGTAGAGATGCAAACCCAAACCTTACCACACAATTGACAAAATGGTCCTCATCAGAACGAGTAAATTCAGACCAGGGTAAAGCCACCGCCTGTTAAAAGGAAAGAGGGAAAACAAGTGGTCCACTGTTGTTATTTCCCACTGAATGCTTCTTTAATCGTTCTAATGTATATGGTTGAAAGATTGTCAAGAATGGGTCAAGAATATCACACGCTACTCGATGAAATTGATCGAAAATATTGATTAGACCAGGCTATTTTTATAAAGCACGGAAGCAGCGTTTTGTATTGAAGAGGAAACGAACGGGATTAGAAATATTTCAAGATTTTATGTGAATTAATTACTCTTTCAAACTGTAAAAAAGGTGGACAGAATTCATGTGAAAATGAGTTCCGCCTACAAGTACATTTTCGTGCAAATCACTCATTTTCGTATGAAAGGTTTTGCACGAAGACTCGGTTTGAAACAGAGGTGCAAGGTAACTTGGAAATGGCCTATTGATTTAGAGTTTCAAATGTTGATATTATAACAATAATAATACACGTGAAAAAATTACTCAATTCTGATTGGCTGAGAGCAGTGCAGTTCAAGTGTAACACCAGTGCAAAAAGTGTAACACCAGTGCAAATTGCACATCGTAATTCTGGATTATGATTGGCTGAAAGACAATAGGAAATTTTCTAGGGCAATGATATCACGTAAAATAATGACGAATATTTTGTGCGGAAACTTTGAAAAAAGTTTTCTCGAATGAGAAAAAAATGCCTTTAAGAAAGATCTTCCGGCACTTCCTTCACGCGATTTCTTTCATGTTCATGTTATTAATAGGTAATCATACGGTTTTTCTCGTTTAATTTGGAATTAATTTGCACTTGTGAGTTTTTCAAAAAGCAGAAATTGCACGAGCCGCTTCTGCGAGTGCAATTTCTGCTTTTTGAAAAACTCGTGCAAATTAATTCCAAATTGAACGAGAAAAACCGTATGATTACCTATACTTAATTTTCTGATTAATTTTTAATTTTTCTGTGTATAGTGTCATCGTTTTTGTTCTTGCCTGAGTGATCCATATTTCTCAGTGGGATCATTACTGTCGGGCTTCTACGCTTGTCTATAACCGTTTACCTGTATGGATGTTTTTACCACGGTAGATAACAAATGGTCTCCACGTTCTTCTGGGAGAAGCCGCATTAAATCAGCTCTAACCTGCGGGCTCATGGCCATTTCCCGTGGGGAGTCTGGGGCGATATAGGTAGCAACAAGTGTCTTGGCCGAGTGATATTTGCTGTAGCTGCTAAAATAATCTGGAGGTGAGAGATACCGCTGAGCATCTTCCCAGAATTGAAGGCTCCTAAGCGCCACATGTTCCTGTGTTTTCTCTAAGTACTCCCGGAGAGGACCGCCGGCCAGTTTATCTGAAGTCAACGCTACTACTTCAGTGGTTATGTCTGCATAGACGAAATCGAAAACAGGAAAAAAATTAGCGTTTTGTAATATCGATTTCTTTCTCTCACTCTGTGTACGCTTTATTGGCAGGTTGTAGCCTGTGATGAGATTGATATCTTGCCAGCCACGTCATGCCAAGATAACAGAAAAAGCATTTTAAATAGCTTTCACAATTCCTGGCCAATGGTAACAAACGCGAACAACTTAATGACCAATCTGAACAGAGAAAATCTTGACGAAAAACTGTTGCAATCAGCGCTTGGACCAGTGGAGTAAGTTCAGAGTTGCTCCTGATTCAGTTAAACAGGACTCCTGTGGTAGCTTATGGTCAGGATGGTCTAGAAAAGGGTACTCGAAGTTTTGGAAACAAATTATAGAATTAGGTAAAAAGAAGCGTGAAGAGAATTACTTCCAGAAACAAAAACAGAAACAAAAACGAAACAAAGCAAAACAAAACAAACGAAAACCACATTATCAGAGGGTATTTCCTGGTTTTGTTTCAGGTGTACAAAACACTCACTTGTGCTGATAACAAGCTATGAATTAGAAATATTTGTGACACTCTATAAAATGTAACTGACTGTGTCCCACCCATATCATCATGCTCTTGGAATTTTGTCTGAAAGCTAATTTTCCGTGCTTAAACAAGAAAAGCAACAACAATCTTCATAAGCAATAGAATACTTAAAAATAACATGATCACAACACCACCAATAGCTAATGATGTTGAATAGGAGAAAAGAGGAGATAAAAGACACGAGATATAAAATACCAATACAGAAATAGAGATAAAGAGGAAAAACAACAAACAAACAAACAAACAAACAAACAAACACGAATAGAGCTACAGGTAATGACAAATCAAGTAAATGAAAGAAAGCAATAAAAGAGAGGACCTAGGAAATAGTCTCTCACCATTGTCACTCACGGGGAGGACAAACTGTTCCCAGTGAGACGATTGGCTAGGAAATACAGCACGGGGCTCACAAATAACCGATGTTATTTCGTGTGCAATGTCTTCAAGTGGGATCACATGGGAGGCAGACGCTCGTCTCAAAGCCATAATAACAGTTGGTGGAGGTGATGCTAAAAATCAAAACAGAACAAAATTAGAGCTTCAAATTGGACTAGCACTAATCAACCGAGCCTGTGCACGGTCTCGGTCACGTAACGTCAACGTTGCTAAGCAACCCAGTACACGTGATATAGAGGCGTGACCCAATTTTCGAAGTGATTAGAAAAGGGATATCGGAAGCTTGTCATGTGATTTAACCAAGATTTGCTGAAAAGGGCACTTGTTCCTTCACTGATGTTCCACCGACTTTCTTCTTCTGTTGGAGAGCGCGACACGATGCTTTCATATAAGCTTATTATTATGTGGAAATGTATCAGATACAACCGTTTTACAGGAGCAATCTTTTTAAAATTCTAAAACAGTGCAGTGTTCAATGCGTTGTTCCTGTCTCAAACTTGTTTCAATTTAAACGAGATGGCATGGTTTTCCAAATTAGACTCAGAAGTGTCGCGGCTTTAAGCGAAAAATCTCGAGCGATATCTCCACAATTAACATGGCCTGTCTAGGTTTGTGCTCGTATCTCAACATAAAACTGAGAGACATTTAAATACAGAATTGAATAAAAAAAGAGCAGTTTTAAATTCTAAACGCCGCCATGCTTTTGATCAAATCTATTGAAAAATTAAGAGACCTTCTTTACCCACCTGATAACAAACTTCTTGGGGAGGGGCTCCCAGACGATGATCCATAAAGCTCCTCGTCTTGTTCTTCACTAATAATGCTCTGATGTGAGGCTAATGCCTCGTACAGGGTCTTAAGTTTCGTCGGTGCTGATGCTGGGATTTGCGCGAAAGGAGGATGGACCCTGGGAGGATCGAAAGCTTTCTCGGCTTCTGATGAATCACTTTCCTCTGATTTGGGTTTTGGTTTTGTTAATATAAGAGAAAAAAAAATTATCGTTTAAATTGAATAATATATTCTCAAGCTAATTTAATTTGTTGCAATTTAGTGGCATAACTGCAGCTCGTCACGCAGTCTTCCTCAGCCAGAATGGAGACTTTGGAGGACCGTACGTAAAACACGATAGCGGCAGCAACGAGAATGCCGCTGAAAAAAAGACTCCATGAGCAGAAGAATGGATCCGCGGGTGCATTAAAAGTAAAAGAATAAGAGTAAAAGAATCATCAACGAGGCTAAAATCTAAGAGCACCCAGCTTCCTCAAATAAACACTGAACATTTTCAAAATAGCTTTATCAATAGGTTACGTTTTAAGTATAAATTAGCAATATAGTTTCACCTTTTTATCATTTTACCCTTTTTAAATTTGTAAAACGCATTTTAGATTTATTTTCAACCTTTTTAATCCTTTATTTATTGTAACACTTCATTATCATTACTAAGTACTTTTGCACATTTCCTAGCCCTCCTATGCAAATGAACAACGTGAAATGACCAGTTTACAAGTTTTTTTTGAGAAATGAACGACCACGGCTAATTTTTTGTGTTTCTGTTTGGAACTGAACTCATTCGTAGCATATTGAACAGGGGCAAGGTTTTATACCGCCAGACAAACTGAATAGATGTAGATAGCCGCGAAATTCTGAAGTAAGATTGAAATACATTTCATAATAGGTGTTCTCCTCGCGCGCCGTCGTATATGCCAAGGTCTCTATCAGGGCGGAGAAAGATAGAGATTTTTGGCAGCCATTAGGGAGTTTACGAAACCACGACGGCGACGCCGAGGACAACGTCGATTAAAAAATGGATTTATATTTTGCCTGCGAATCTCGCGATACTCTAAAGTCATTTACTTTGTTTATCACTGTCAAAGTTATCGCAAAACTAAATCCGGGACACAGCGATAAATTTGACATAAAAATTTAAAAAATTAGCTGTCGTGGTTCACGTTCTCCAGACAACGCAAAATTTTGGTCATTTCACGTTGTTGTCTTGCAAAGGGCGGCAAAGAGATGTACCAAAAATTATAACGCGCGTGCACAGCCATTGCTCTACTCATTAGTAACGTTCCCGTTGCCGTTGCCGTCGTGGTTTCGTAAACTCCCTATTATTAATCGCACCGGACGAGGGAAGGAGCGCTCGTGCCAGTCCTTCTCCGCATCACACATTGGACCAAGAGTGGACTGCGCGTTTCACCCCCCTGGTCTCTATTGATTGAGTATCCAATAGAACGTGTGCATAGAAGCGAGGCTTACTTGCAGTCGTTTCCACTTTAGTTAATCTTGTGCCCCAATCCAAGTCAGTGGGCAGCGCTGGCTCAGAGCTGGACCTCTCCTTTGTTGTGACGAGACGATGTCTTGCAGGGTGAGAAAAAGATTTACTTTTAGTCTCTTCCAGACTTTCGGCATCTGTATCGCCTGAAAAATGTTCATCTTCTTCTCCCTCCGATATGGCGTTCAGGGAACCGCCCTCTTTCTCGGAGAGGACTGGGCTCGATGGTGGCGCTGATGTGGTGTCATCTTCTCCTCTTATCTGAAGCAGCAGGTTAACACGAAAGTCACGATTACATGTATTGAACTTGTAGGTCTGTGTGGTCAAATTATCTCCCTACAGCTTGCATAACTACGAAATGGTAGATTTTTTCCAAGCAAGGACCGAACAAGCTATTTCAATGGTGTTTATTATAATATTTAGTTATAAAAAAAYTGCGAAAAAACTTTTCTTAAAAACATTTAAGAAATTTTTAAAACGGTTAAAAAATACACGACGTTTCGACGTTCTCGGACGTCATTATCAAGTTAAAAAAGAAAACAGTATGAATATTCTATAAATAAAAGAAAAAAACAATACTTCATTAAAAAGAAAGGTAACATAAAAATATGCTACAAGCTAAACAAAGAGTTTAGCACTGATGGAGTCACTCTGAGTTTTAAGGCTAGGCCTCAGTTCTTTGAAGAATGGCATTTCGTAAACTGAACGAGGCAACGGCTTGCAATTTTTTGTAGCTAAATGTTTCAAAAGTCGCTTCTTTTTTATTATAACAAACTGGTTTAAACTCTACTGATAAATTAGTTCATCTTTCCTTGATAAACCAGCGTGCGTGCCAGATTCAAGTATCTATGTGCGCTTTTCAGGCCGTCCACGAAAAAATTAAACTAAATTGTCCGCCAGACATGAACGTGAAAAAGAAAAGGTCTTTCAATATTTTGAGAAATTAAGCAATTTTCTGGCCAGGAACTAATCTTGACGGTCCGTGTTGCAAAATTATACAAACAGATAAATAATAAATAAGACAATAAAGAATAAGTGGTAAACCATGTTTAATCAAACAGCTTTTTAAGTGGTAACGTCAACGAGCTCGATATTAATTGGACACATTTTAAAATTTGAGTAGTTCCCAGTACTTACCCCGCCTAGCTGCCGTAGTTCCAGCGGCATATCATCTGGCGGTTCAATCTTGGTTTCACTTCCGGCGCGACTGTCTATTCCTTCCCAGAACCACCTTTTCCATTCTTCGAGTTTCTGCGCGCGGATTTCTTCATCAGCCACGCTCTCCGTGGACGACACGCACTGAGCTTCCATGAAATCATCCATTTCTTGCTCAGAACTGGTTCTGGAAACTGGATTGTCCTCCCCTAGCTCTGGAACCGGTGAAATACGTCTAGTTTCCGTACTGAACTCCAATTGAGCTCCTCGTTTTTCGGCGATGAGTTTTCTGATAATTTTCTTATGCTGAATGAACTTGGGCAGCCAGTAACTGCTTAGCCGCTGTAAAGCCATCTTCTGCCCTGGGATGAAAATGTTCTCTGAGAATATCGAGAGCCCCGAGGAATGCATTCGTTCTGTTCCTCTCTTCGAGAACTTGAAGGACGTTATTGGGCCGCAAATGTTCACGAATTTTAAACTCTCCGGCAGTTCCCTGGGAGATCCACTCTGTAAGTATTTGGCCTGAATTTCTCGGTATGCGAATCTCCTATGCTCTTTCTTGGTTACACAACGGTATCGTTCGGCATCTATCCAATACAACAGGATTTTGCGTCCCGCAGTACCTCGAAGGAAAATCTGAAATTTGCACATGTCCTCAAGTGTGCCTAGAAAGGATCTGGCTTCATGTAAGTCCACTGATGAACCTAAAATGTCAATAAAACAATTATTTATGGGTCATTGACGAAAGCTTTTTCGGTCAAGGTGGCTGACTAAAGGCCAACTTCCTTTTTTTTTGCGTGTTTATCATGGACTAAGATGGAGTCGAGGTCCATAAACAGGCATCTTGACCGAACAAGCTTCGTCAATTAAAGACTGCGGACTTATTAATTATATGGGATAAAGAAAAACAAATTCGTGCGGGACGCAAGCAGCACGTAATCCCGAGCGCACGAGATAGCACCATCTTGCCCGATCGGGTAGCCAATCACAGCACAGGATTTGGTACATCTTGTCAGAGCTAGAAACTGAAAACAAAACTGGATTCCACACAATTGTTTCTTGGGGGTTTGGCCTTTCTGGCAACGTGGCCATCTTGCGATTTCTGGTCTCAACATGAGAGGGAGGGTGGAAATTTGGCCTCTGTTGGCTTAGCAGACAGAAAGTAGATATCAAAAGTTATAGCGACGCCAACACAGCTATACAAGTGTGCTTTTATCTGTTGTTTCGGCCTCAGTCCAGATGCAGGTAATTAAAATATCACTGACACGAGACTTGTCTGCGGTCAAGGTTCTATCCATATGAGATTGAAAACTTAACAGTCAGTTAGTAAATGTTGTTTGAGAATGAGAACTGTCTCATACTCCAGATTTTAAGCTAAAGATTTACAGCAATGTCACTCTGCGGTGTTAGCATTTCAAGAAACAATAAGCGTACCTCTTATGCCTAGTAAATAATCGCTGTTCTAGATAAAGTGAAATAGCAAGAACCTTCGTGAGCTTTTAATTTTGATATTTCCACCCAATTCTCAAACCCGTCAAATCATTACAAGATCCTGGGGAGCATCTGATGTTCCCCAGCTTTGGCTGCATTACGTGACATGTCTAAACCAATCACGCGGTGCAAGATTAATCAGTTCTTACTTGAAGAATCTGCTGCACTATGAAGTTGGACACATAACTTATACTCAAGGAAAAGATCTGTTTTCCAAAAAAACCGCATCCTTTCTCTTCTAACCCACTTTTTCACTCGATTAGGCAAAACATGCTAGAAATGAAGAGAAGAGAATTACAGTTTAATTTTTGCTTACATGCGCTGTCCAAACGGGAAATATTTGGCGATCAAATAAGCTAAGATCAAACGTTGTTTGGTGACCAAAAATTTTCCCGTTTGGACACCTTGTTTCATCTTGTTCGATAAAATTGAACGTCGAAAAACTTTTGATCACACCTTGTAAAACATTTTGTTCATTTGGACGGCGATCAGGAAACATCAACATGTTTGAACACTAGACAATGATGTTTGATCGTGTTTGGTCTCCAAACATATCCCGTTTGGACAGGGCTTTAAGACTTCTAACTTCAGGGACAAAAGGTGCGGAATAAGTCAAAGTTTCTGAGGAATTGCACCAGATAGAACAATCAGATCAAACGTGACGTTCATTCCAAAAAGTTACAGACTTCAGAGTCAATTCAAATCAAACAATATTACAAAACAAATGATAAATCGACTTGATCGAGAATTCAGATGTAGTCAGCTTTGCAAGTCATTTTATGTTGCTAATTAAAACCGACGTTTCCGCAAGGCTTATTTTTAAACCAAAATTAAGGCAACGTTTGGAGATATTTGGAACAAGTTTTAAATAGGTTTACAAGCAATTATTGTCTGGCATTACTTACATAACATGTTCGCGGAGGGGGAGGGTCAATATTGAATTTATCATCTGCTCGGTTGTAGTGTAATTTCTTGCCAAACACCTGTTGGTCGGATGAAAAAAAACAACAAAAAAACAATAGCCTTAAGAAAGGGTGGGAGATGCCACCGTTTGGACCTAAATTATATTTGGTCAAATTACACCATCGAAAACTCGGAGCAAATACACAAAACTGGCGTCAAGGGCAGGAATCCCCAGGTGACCATGTCTTGATTTTACATCTGATTGGTTGAGTAGGTGGTGTAATATTTTTAACCAATCACAGAACGTATTTACAAACATACATACATAATCTTTAGTAGGAATGAGCAAAAAACTCATACGATGCGTGACACTGCCGAAAAGTTGTATATAAGGCTAAAATGCTCTGAAAAGTGTCAAAACAAATTTGACACTTTTCAGAGCATTTTAGCCTTATACACATAATCTTTGGTTCAACACGGTCAAAAATTCGTCAGCTAAAACTCCTAATATCTAGTATAATAAAAAATAATCAAATAAAAAAGCTGCTTTTCACGAATGCCCTGCCTTATACATCTCTTTTGAGTAGGCGTTTAAACTGCCTCGGGGACTCTGCTTCCCTAAAGTCACAAGGAAGACTGTTCCAAAGAATGGCGCCACTGTTTCAAACCCTTTCTATCTTTAAGCATGCTGCACGCGTTATAGCAACCTGTTACTGAAGCCGAATGTACACAGCATTGAAGTTAAACACATTAGTATTCTCAAATGTTTGAGCTTAACGACCGCTCTACTAAATACGCACTCTATTATGGTGTCTTAAAGTATCTAACACAGTTAACATGTACCGGAAGGGAGAGAAACGCGTTAAAGTAGTCCACAAACATTGGATCGCTCAAAAGCTTTTCAAAAACATCTTCACTTGGAATTCCTGATCAAGAAAAAAAAAGCGAAAAACAGCCATCAAATATTCAACGTTCAAACAAAGGAAAAAAAAAGGTGAAATGTATGAAGGCGTAACTCTCACCACTCAGAGAGTGCAAGAAGTCTACTGAATTCTTGTCCATGTTTGCTTTAACGTCTCGTTTTTCTTTCTAGGTTTTCTTTGGTCTGTTTTTGTTTTCGCGGTTTCCATGGGAAACAGCCTAGCGTGTGGCGTCACGCAATAATGGACGAAATGTAGACGTCATGCGCGGAGGTGCGGAAGTAGCGCAGGCGCAGCTAACGGTCACAAAATCAATCAACTCGCAAAGGGCTTAAGTAGATTAAATGATGGAAAATGGTGAGTGAGATATATATGACGAGAAATATGTTCGTGTTTAATCACTGTTAAGATAGTCAAACGTTTTAGGGATAACCCCTTCATCAGAGCTTTTTCCTTAGAGGCGGACGCTCGAGCTTACGTTCGCTAAGTATGTTGCGCGCGCGTCGTTCAAAAACCTTCAAAAATAGAATTCACACGAACGCGCGCGCTAACACAAATAACAAAATTTTTAAAGAGAGCGAAGAAGAATGAAAAGATAAATAAGCGTCAGAACATTTGTGTGAATTTGAACTGAAATTGGAAATTTACAATTTAAAGTGATTGATTTTCACCGCGCTGTGCATTACCGACTCCAGATTTTCTCTCTTTTGAGAATCTCCCGGTGAAGACGTAGATTAAGGCTATAACGACTCTTGGAAACTGCCAAAGATTGAGTTCTCTGATTGGTCCATTCTATATGTTTGAGACAAACTGGTGTTTTACTGGCGTTAGGCCGCGGCTTTCGGAGGGAAAAGTTTTCAGTTACGGATGGTACAAAAAAAATGCGGAGTTCAAGTGCAAAGATAAGCTGTTGTAACAGCAAACTACTTCGAGAGTAAACAATTTCCTTAGCAAACTGCTTCCGGAGCAAACTACTTCCGGGACAAAATACTTCCGGAGCAGACATTACCACAAACAATATAAGAGAAAGTAAACTTGTAATCCTTTATTTTATTCTGCTTTGTTCATCAACGGTTTCCTCTGGTAATGCCGAACAAGCTGATTTAAAATCACTATGTTGACAATGAAGAAAACAACACCAGCAGCCCAAACAAATACAAATGTGTTCATTCCTTCAAACTCCAGATAATATGCAGTGGTGAGCCACAAAGCCTAAATGAAAAAAGAAAACAAAATCAACTGCTGAAGAGTCTTGAAAGGAACGCTTACTGTGATGCTAGACAAGGTTTACCATAAATCCTCAGCCGACCGATCACAACATTTCAACCCAACATTGTTGGGCACAACATGTTGCTTGTGTTTGGCCACTCTGTTGTGACTTGTTGGCAACATGTTGGGTGTTGTTGGCTCAAGTTTGAAAATGGTCAAATTTTTCAAGCAACATTTGTGGATGTTGCATGATGTTGTAGTCATTTGGCCAGGTTCGTGCAACAATTCGTGCAACAACGTGAATTAGTTTTTAATTCTTAGCAGGACCCCGTTGATAACAGTACTTTGTGCTGAAGGGTTATCCTGAGGAAATATTCGATGATGATGACGACGACGATGATGATGATGATGATGATGATTATTATTATTAACAATTCGTGCAACAATGCTTCACCAGGAATGCACACTAGTTCGATTTGCAACACCCAACTTGTTGTAGCATGTCGCAACACGTCGCAACAGGGTTGCCAAACGTGTGCAACATGTTGCACCCAACAATATAAGCATACGTTACATTGAAATGTTGCGATCGTTTAGCCGTGGCTTAAAACCTGTTACACCAAGAGGGTTAGAAATATCTCTGAAATGCTAAATTTATCACAGATCTAATGAGATGAGATGAGATGAAACTGAGTCACTGATTAAAGTAATCTGGACGATTTATAGTGCACCCCAAAAACACGTACGTTAAAGGCATTTGCCTCACAACAAACACTGCACTAGGTCAACTTTGTACCTGAAGGTACTTACATAGTTACTCTGTTCTCTTTTTTAAAGCTTCTAATGAGGAATAAAAACAGTTGAGGGCGTGTTACTAACAGCGGTCGCTCAACATCTCTTACAGTATTCTATTCCTTTTCTTCCAGTCTCTTAACTCTCAAGCTTTAATTTGGAATTTTCTTGTGTTCAAAATTTCCTTCAATACAAACATCTTACCTGGCTAGTAAACCAGGATGCAGTCAGAACAATGACTTTCTTCAGTGATATGTTTACAGAATCCCCAATTAGAGGTAGAAGACACAAATACCACAAGAAATACTAAAAAAGGGAGACAAAATAATATAAATGGGTGTTATGATCTTGAAATGTTACAAACACCACCCGATGTAGCATTTGCATACGCGTCTTGAAACAACAAACTCATAGACGCATTTTATTTTGGTGTGTAATAGACTCTTGCAATATTTATGATGCACAAATTTGAAGTTTTGCATGATCAGATGAATCTTCTCTTTGTTGGTAAGGGCATGCCTTCTTGTCTAGCGATCATACATTGTATTAAGTTTAGGGTGAGCTGAAGTGAATGTTGGCTTCTTACTGAAACAACTGGTGGGAGCTGAAGTATTTCCAGTCCTTGGGCCTTTCACTTTTCTTCAAAAAAGGTGCACGTGGGTGGGGGAGGGGGGGAAAGGGCTTGAGTGAAGCTAGGCTTTTTTGCTAAAAGGTATGGTGTGAGCTGAAACCTTTTCAGTCCTTAGGCCTTCTGCTTTTCTTCAAAAAGGGCAGGTGAAAGAGGGGGTGGGGGGGGGGGGG